AGAAACTACTTATTATGTACAACTCGATGAACTGTAGACACAATTATTTTAATAAATTTACAAAACACACACACACTCTTTTTTAATTACAATTTCTTTTATATAACAATATTTTTATTTTAAAATTAATTTTTCTATTTTTTAATTAACTTTTTCAGTTTAAAAAATTAACTGAAATTAATTTTTTCTAAAACGCGCTAAATTACATCGGTCTTCAAGTTTCCAAATATATTAATTTAATTTTTTATATTGTGCGAAAGTTTATTCTCTCTCTCTCTCTCTGTATTTATTTTGTCAATTAATAAATATACAATATATTTGGAAAATAATAATAAATCTTTCGCATAGAGGTAGAATGGACTAAATTGAAAAGAAAAATCCTTTACCATTTTGCAATTTTTGTAATAGTTAACAAGATATTAATTGCTAAAAATTGCCGAAAATTGGTCTTTAATAATTTTTTACTCAAATACTATCAACTTTACAGAAAAACTGCAAAATACGAAAATTGTTTATTTTCTTCTCATAGAACTTTACGAATTTTTTATCAATTTTTTAGTACTGCATTTTCTTATTTTTACCAATATGAAAAAACACGGTATTAAAAAATTCTAAAAAAATAAAAAAAAATTCTTAGAGCTCTCTGAGAAGAAAATAAACAATTTTTGTCTCTTGCAGTTTTTCCGTAAAGTTGATAGTATTTGAGTAAAAAATTATTGCACTGAGAAAAATTTCCGGGCTTTATCCGTTCAAAAAGTAATAAACAGATATTTCCGATTGATTTTGATCGGATTTATAAGACTATCCGATCAAATTCATCGGATAGTCTTATAAATCCGATCAAAATCAATCGGAAATAACTGTTTGTTACTTTTTGAACGGACATTTTTCTCAGTGTGAAGACCAATTTTCGGCAATTTTTAGCAATTAATATCTTGTTAACTGCGAAAATGGCAAAATAGTACAGGATTTTTCTTCTCAGTTTAGTCCATTCTGCCGCTATGCGAAAGATTTATCATTATTTTCCAAACACCCTGTATAAATAATTTGCTCATCACTGATTACATGTTAAATTGTGTTATATTAATACATATTAATATTTTTTATTAGCACAAATATCGAGAATTATTACACGATAACAAAGCACTGAATGGCACTAAATCTAGAACCGCGACGTCCCAAAACGAGAAGTTAGATGAGACTAGCTACTTCGCAATTATGATTTTAATTATGAACGGGAGTTACCGAGGGACTTACCTGAGCCGTTGTTATCCGCGCGTCGCACTTTTGATTTACGAAATTAAGTGAAAATATTTATGAGCAATTTACACGCGGCCAATATTACGCACTGCATGTTTCACGTGGTAACCTGCGCATCATCGTCTCACACTACTCCGTCGACCACGGACTTTGTCGCAAATTAAATGCGGTTGCTGTCGGGCTTATCCTCGGCGGGAAATTTCTTCTGAATTATTGACGAACTGCTGCTTTTGACTCCTGATGAAAGGAGCGTTAGCCCCTTTATTCCCCATGTAACATGGAGTGTAATGAATCTCGCAATAACTAACTCACGTTCAACAAAAGAATAATTTCTCGTGGCAGTCGTCGGCCTCATTAATTTTCCATCATCCATTAGTACAAAAAATTTTTTGAAAAAACGCCGAAAAGTATTAATTTTATTTAAGAAAAACTACACTTTTAATACTTTTATATACTGGTCTCTTATATTACGACATCCATATTCATTATTGTACTATATTTTTTTAAAACTATTGTCTTTAAACTATCATAAATTTATAGATGGGTAGATGCTTATGAAATAAATAATAATAAAGAAATAAAAGAGACAGGCTAGATTAAGCTATAACATATTTGTGAATGATTTCTGTGAAAACGACGGTCGTGGTCAGACATGGCTGACCTCACTTCGCTTCTATCACTAGCGTTGCGCTATAAAGGCATACCGCACACTCGCATTAAAATAAACTATATCCATCTACGCTATGATACACATCAAACGTGCAATAAATGTAGAATATGTGGTAGTACTATGGCGCTATCATATCCTTTTAACCTTCGGGGACGAACCGCGAGCACTACACGTGTGTTTCGACAAAAGAGTGGGTTTGTGTGCTGTCACATACGATTTTGAAAAACGCCAAGATATATACAAATTTTAAACATCGAAGAAAGAAAGAGAAAGAGAGAATGTTTACACAATATAATATAATGCTTAACTTACTATACGTTAACGTTATTGTATATAACTTCTACATAGCATAAGGATGAAATTTGTAATAACTGGCAGCAAAAATTAATTTAATACTGATTTTAATTATAAGCTCGTATATACATGTTTGCACTTTTTACAACATTTTCAGTTCATTTAACTTTTATTTCGCATTTTCGTATGCAAAATGTACTTGCAACCGAAGTATAAAACGATAGATCGTAAAAAAGTTGTTTACTAAAGAATTCTTTTTCTTGTACTACTTATTTAGGAAATATAGCAGCTTCTGTGATAATATAGATAGGCAAAGAGTTGCCTGAGATTTTTAGCGAGATTTGTTAAAATAAAAATGAAAAAATTGATATAAACGGGAGAATTTAAAAAGACAAAAGATAAAATTTGACGAAGCGGCGTTATAAAAGGCAATTGTTATAAAAATCATGGATGTTTATAACAAATTCGTTACTTTCGAGAAATTCCTGAAATGGAGAAACTCTGCTACCACTTTTGACGTTTTGTCATTCCTCAAACATGTATACCATAACTGGTCAACGCGGCCAACAAAATTGCAAATAGTTATTACGACTTGGATTCCACACGCCGTATGCTTAACATGTCGAAGCAAATAGCAATAGCTTGTACGAAATTCCAAATGTTTGGTGAGCTGGCATTAGCGTTTCTCGGAGTCCCGAGAAACCACGAGTACTTTCCGAGGATTTCAGATATTAATGCACTGGATATTCATAGAAGCTCTGTCTTTATTCGATCAAATCCAATATCCGGACTGTATATATATATTTAAAAGGTATCGTTAGTCGCATTCTGTACACTCTACGTATATTAAATTTTTTGACATAATATCGATGAAATGATACAATAAATTACAAATTAATATAATATAATTTCATATGCCTTTAAAATCAAATAAAATTATTAAACTATAAAGACAAATTAAAATGAAATTTATAATTACCCAATACAATATGACAATATTCAATTAAGGAAAATTTAAAAGCTTTGTTATTAATTCTTGTTTCGAGTCGTCAAACGGAATGAGAGCGGATGTCTTACGTTTTTCCTATGTCGATTTCAAGATTGGGTGATCAAAATCTAATCAACGCGAGAAGTGTACCAAGAGGCATCCATATGTATCATCTGTCTTAAACTATTTTGCATACGCTTCGTCTGCAAGAGAGAAAAGCTAGAAGAGGGAGAATCGGAATATCTTTCGTCCGGAAGACGGAGGATATTCTAAAAGAGAAAATGAAAAGTGGCGGACGTAAGAACGTGTGCAGGGCTGAGGAAATAAAATGTACCTTTGATGTCGTTCAGCTTGGTCGAACCTTTTTGCATTCCTTTGATATTTCAAAGTTCTATAAGTTTTCGTAGCAGATAGATCAGACGAAGAAGGCAAACTTTGGTTTCATCTAAAAAGGCTCGTTATTAAAGAGAATGTATTAAAGAGAACATAATATTATTTTACTATACGTAAGTATATTTCAGTAATTTTTACATGTTTAAATAATATGTATAATAAAAGCTTGAGCTGGTGAATATTAATATAAGTATAAAAAATTTTAATTAGTCTTTATAAACGTTTGAAAATGTTCATATAATTTCCGATAATTAAAGAATAATTTATGAGAATTAAATTTATCAAAATTATATCATATAATTTATCATCAATTATTCATTGTCAGTTTAAGTAGATTAATTATAGAATGTAAGAATATGAATAACTGCTATTTAATACAATATTTCCTATTGATCTTTACTAATATATAGTAACAATAAGTAATAAAAAATATTTAACATATATATTATACAATATATTTTCAAAAATATTCTATCAGCGTTTCAAATGTAAAACTGATCAAATTTTTAACTTCAAAATTCTTCAATTAAATTGAGAATTGAATTGGAAACACTATCAAGTCTCATTGAAAGTATTTCATTGTTATTTAGTGAACTAATTAAAAAGAAAATCGAGGAATTTTGTTCGTTTGGTAAGCCATTGCACGAACGCAAATAACGTTCAGCGTAATCTGTCTTCGTACGTGCCATTTGCCTTTGACGTTTACCACCGCGGAGGGCTCCATGCTATTGATGATAGCGGCGGCGTTGTCAGGGTTGATAGCGGGGTTGATAACGCTACGCTCGTGGACACACAGTTTCGCGGGCGAGAAATAATGAAATTTGCCGTTGACGAGGCGAATAGTGATTAATGAGCCGCACACAGGTGCAAATGTCGTATCGCTCGACTGAGGCTGCGCACATGTGCATGTACGCTGTGCTGGAAAAGTTCGACGACCGAATGACTAACAAGAACGGGGAGAAAAAGATTGATCGAAATACAATTGGAAGGAGATAAAAAACCCATGTACAAACTTCGTTTGCGGTTTCTTTGACCGATTCGAAGTCGATTTTCCTTTAGCAAAACATTGGAACTTATTCTCTGGTATTTTTTTTAAATTTTCAACAATATCTTTTGGGGATTAAGTATTACGTTGAAAGTAAAGTTAAAGAACGAATAGATAATCAAGACAAACGAATAAATTTACGAAAGGTCAATTGTACAATATCAATTGCTCGTAATATAATGCATGAAGAAAGATGTCTTACAGTTCTAAAGACACTTTCAGCTTATTTTTTAATATTCACTATACTTTCCAAGTTTTAGAATGTAATTTTTCAGCGCCTTGTATATTAATAGAACAGAATTTAGCAGTAAGAACACTTGGAATACAAATGGCTTTATTTCATGTTTCAGCTCATATATGGAGACAATGAAGTGGCTTTGGATAATTGTCTTGATGGCTCTGGCGTTGCCAGCTGCTGTACCACGAAAAATCCACAGAAGCAAGCCCAGTAAGTAAACGTTGTTTTATAGTTTTATATAAATAGTTTTCATACATAGAAAAATTATTTTGTATTTGTGTTGAAACCGATATTTGTTAAAATTTTTGTGTTGAATTTTTAACGTATTCGAGTGTTAATTTAACATAATGTAACTGTGTTATTTGAATCTTTTATGTTAAACTGATATTTAATATTCCTTAGCGTTAAAATAACATAATTTATGAGCAGTGAAAAAATAATGTAAAAATAATATAGTTTTAAAACATAGATTCTAAAATAAAAAAATAAAACGAACGTGTTAATTTAACTAATTTTATAAAAATGTTTATTAAAATAATTTTATTGAAATGTTTCCCTACAAGTTGTTTCTAAACCTTGTTAGTAATATATTTTTATATTAACTTTTTACATCGTATTATTTGTATTAATGTCTAACATTTTCATTTTGTATTAAATTAATACAGAAATTTGAACTATTTGGAACTCTTTACATAAATTTTTTTAAAGTGATTTTTTTATTTGAGGAATAATATTTTCCTTATAACTACCCACACAGTTACATTTATGTTCAATTTAATACATTTTATGTTATAAGGAAAATATTATTCCTCAAATAAAAATCACTTAAAAAACATTTATGTAAAGAGAATGATTTATCTCTTTCAATAAATTACTGTTTGATTAATTATAATTATCGCGTCTTGTTAGCTATGTTTGCGCATTCTGAAATCTCTATCTGAGAATAACGGAACTTCGTAAGGTAAGCTTTCGTATACATAGAAGAACGTATCACGTAACTGTCTGGAAAAATATTCGATCATAACGCTTCCGTTTTCACCGTTATCCTATCACGGACATTCCTATATGATAGTCCCTGAAAGGATCGGAGAGCTACTCGATATATCGCGAGCAGGCGGAAAGTCGATTTTGATCGGAACAAGGCTGCGGAGAATCACTTCACATCGTGATTGAGGAAAACCACCACTGCTTGTTTTACCACGTAACAACGGTAAGCCGATCTCGAAAGATATCTGTGATTGTTCAAAAATATTACTCTGAACACACAATACTGCTATCTAAAATTGTTTTACGATAAATTCTCGATATTTCTATCTGGATAATAAAAAACGAAGAAAATATTCAATTTTTACCAAACGGCAATAATATACGGAAACAATAAGACATTTAGATATCATCAAAACAATAATTCAAAAAGATATCGTATCACATGTTAGCAGGAATAGCATCGAAACATTTTTCAACTGGACATACGAGTAATTTCCGAAATGATTGGAAACCTTACGACACGTGGCGAACAAAGTTAAGGGAAGTTAAAAAGCACATCATGAAACAAACACGAATTTCCGCATCCTATAGTTACACGGAATTCTTTTTTTTTCTTTCTTATTCTCATTTTTCTTTATGTCCTGATCGACATATTTTGCTGGAGAGCAAAATACGCTATTATTTTCACTCTCGCAAGATCTGATCAAGATTTTCTCTTTGCTGCTCCCGCAAAGAGGAAATGAGTAGTCACAGCTGTGTTGGACTCAGGCCTTCGTCGGTGGCAGATGTCGGTTATTGAAAGGAAATATTTTCTTTTTGTTTTCAGCACCACGATTGTACGGCGACAGAGTCCCCATCAATTTAATAAGGACCACTAGCAGTAAGGTACGGCAAAAGATCGTGGACACCCACAATTACTTTCGCACGCAGGTCAAGCCATCTGCCGCCAACATGCTCGTCATGGTAAGAATTCTATTCCTATATATTTCCATTTAATAAGAAAAGAAAAATCGATTCCCGCCAATTCCCGTTCGTATTTGTCGAAGGCACATTTTGATATACTAGTCAATTTAATATATTGAAAGACTAAATTAATTACAGTTTTTCAATAATAAAAATTTTATTAGATTTTTGAAGCATTAAAATTATACGCACCAGAAATGGTTATTTTACACATCACGTTTATGAGCCTTCAGAATATTTAATCATGCAATAATAACGGTTTGTAGGTTATACCGTGCTTTTTTTAATCATACGAATGTTTTCCGTGTTAAAATCCCAAGTGTATTTTACATGTATAAATATATGTACGTAAAGCGAGAAAAATTGTTTGTCAGAAATAGATCTACAATAATGTCACTTGATAGCGAATCGCTGCAGAACAACGATAAACGGTTTAAAAGGGGAACTTATACTGAAGCATCTTCTGCTGTAGCATTAGAAGTACAAACGCAAAGTATTTCAGCGAGACAAGAAATCGATATATTCTATTTCCGTTGATCGACGCCTGTCCGCGTGACTCGGAGCTTCAAAGTAAAATTGGTTTCGCCGGGCGGAAGTAGATGTTACGCGCTTCATCGGAACGTTTACGAGAACTTTCGCCGATCGCGATAACCACCTTTCTGTAAATTTCATCGGCAGTTCATCACGATATTTCAGAAACGTTCGCTTTTTGTCTGTCATCGTTTTCGCGCTACAGCGACGCGATCAATAGTCAATATTGAGAATTTTGATACACTTGTCATCGTGTTTTATCTACTCGCGATGACATACATATTTTTATTATTTCGCGAATGAAACATGGGAATTTTATCAAGGTACAATATAAGATGATTTCGCGATTTCTATAGAGATAATTGTGTCAAATTTTTATACATACGAAAAGAACAGTTTTGTTGAAATATCTAAAAATTTTCTACATATAGATTTGAAAATAATTTTATTGATATCCATCAAAATAATTACATAAAATATTCAAACTGGTTACTAAAATCAAAACTTTTTGCAGCATGGCATTGTCATTAATGCTTACGTTAAACGTTCTATATAATTATTTTAATGATCCAAAAAACAAAATTATTTTTAGATTTGTATCGACCTAAATTTTGAGATACTTTAACAAAATTGTTTTTTCTATGTACATTTCACTACTGATCATTTGAAATGAATAAAAAAGAAAAAATAAAAAAAAGATCTATAATGCGAACACTATTTTTCACAGATATGTCTATTAAATTTATCTAAAAGGTTCGTTGTATCACTCAAAAAAAGAGTTAAAAGTTTCAGCAAAATCGGAGCCATGGATTTCAATGTACTTTGTGTTTTATTTAAAAAGAAATATTTCACTTCTCTTTTCAAAGTAGTCCAGTTTTAATTTTGTTTAATACAGAGCTTGATAGAAAAAAAATAAATCTTTTATATCAACTTAAATATACTTTGAGTGATAAAGAGACAGAATCATCTTTATCTCTTCTACATTTTAAACACAAAGCATAAATAGTACCAGTGGTATTTAATACACACAGAATATTAAATACTGCTGATAATATTAAACATTGTTATAAATCCATTTTTTAAATAAAGGAATTCTGACGCGAACATATGTATATATTAAATATAATTTTATTATTATAAAATTATTATTAAATTTGAAGTTTCAAAAATCTAGATTTTTTTGATATCAGCTTCACTTGAATCTAGGATTTCTTCGCGCAGAATTTATGAATAATGCGAACGAGCGGTTTCGCAGCCTGTTCGAATAATAGTAGGGATGCTCGCTTTGAAATTCTATCGATTTTCCCAGATTCTCATCTTTCGATGCGCCTTCGACAATACGTTGTCACTTTTCAAAATGGAATCTTTCCAAACTCTTCTCAGTGTGCGTATCTCTTTCCTTACAGAAATAAAAATAACCTTTCGACTACACTATAATCTTGATATCAATATTGTCGGATGATTTCGTTTGAATTCGATATTAAAAGTATGATACACTTTAATTATACATTAAATATTTTATGTAATATATTTTTAAATAATATAATAATAAATTTTGTTGTCCAATATTAAATATAAAACAATGCGGACACACACACATACATATAAAAGAACAATATAAAATAATAAATATAAAATATCGATTTTTTCAAAATGGGGTGCCAACTTCACATTGGCTGATTTCGAAACAGTTTCGGAGTAACGGGATTTTGAAGTAAGGAAATCTAAATCATAGTAAATGATGTTTAACGTTCGTTATTCTGAATCCTGAATCTTTTTTTGGTAGACTAGATTTTTCATTTATCCCTAAAATGTAAACAATGCACGTTAAGGATGACTTCCTGTGCGAACATCTTTCTGAGATTACTATCATTGAATTGGAAAAGGCTAGGACGCTCCCATTAAATGACAAGCGAAAAGTTCCGACCTCACACTACTGGATGTTTTTCTTTGGCGACGAATGAAAGATCTAGTCTACCAGAATGAGCTTCATAATGCAGAATAATTATGGTAACTGATACTTAACATTGCTGATATTATCCGCGAAACTCCAAATATTTGTCATCAAGTCCAAAACAATTTATTAATTCGTGCTAGAAAGTGTGCTGAAGTCGATGAAGGAATTTTTGAACATGTTTTGTAAAGCATTATAAAATAACGAACATTAAACAACATTTAAAATAATTCATATTTTTTTACTTTAATATCTCGCAACTTCGAAACCGTTTATTATTAGATATACGGAATATACGTTTATTAGACATTTTCACTTGTTTTCATGTGCTGAAGCTGCTGTAGCAATTTATGCACTATATGCAGAGATGCCTTCTGTATACGTCCATGATATTATATTATAAAATTAATTAGAAAATACACACAGATTTAGCCAGTTTATTCTTTGTAAAATTTGCATGGGGGTAATATTCGGAGAAATAATTACCGGTCACGAATGAGAAGGCACTCTTCTGAAAACGCAACAAAAGCAACATAATAAATACAGCAGTAACATAATTCAACTTCCTCGTGCACAATGTGCATTTAATTTGAGTTTTTGGCAACTTCGCAGCAGATAACGCGCGCCGTTAATTGGACTGATTAAAATTAAGCGGCGAAAGCCCTTGTTATCTGCTCGTTTCACGATTTTCCGTATTTCTCTGGAAATTTATCAGAATGTAAATCCTATAGCAATTATTGTTTGTAACACGTGCCTTTCTTCTATTTGGATAATAAAGCATGATAATAAGATGCGCGATGTTTTAGAAATAATAGATAATTAAACAACGGTAACAGATATTTATATAACAGAAAACAATTTTAGCTGCGAATAAAGCATAAATTTATAATACCAATATTATTACGAAAGGACTAACACAAATACTATAATGATTATGGCATTAACTATTTATCTCATATTTTATTATATAATATACATATATTGTAATTACTTTATATACTCTGCAGGCAAAAGTTTGAAAATATATTTAAAAAATTAATTTCTATTTTTGAGATTTTACTTACTCAAATATTTCTTCAGATTTAATAATAGTTATGGGAGACAGAGAAAAGAATTATTATAAAAAAAAAATACATTGTTATGGATATTTGAGAGCAAGTAATCATAAAGTCAATTTTTTAAATGTATTCCCAACTTTTGGTCAAAAGTGTATGTACAATAATGTATGTACATATATATATATATATATATATATATATATATAATGATGTTATTTAAACGTGAGACTGTAAATTAATTCTTACTGATATAATTCTATTACTCTCAATGAACGCTCGATACTAAGATGTTAAACGCACTGTGCATACAAAATAGCGGATTTTGTCAGAGATTTACCTTACGAAGCGGTTTACTTGATCAGAAAACTGAATTTTCGAGGTTCGCCGTCGAGTACGGTGCAAGATTTCAATTTCCGCCTGCATCGACGTTATTATCCGATCTATATATAAACATGTATGTGTGCTATATATCACTCACTTCCCGTTGTTTCTCATGGCGATATAGAGAGGAGATATGTATTCCAGAAGGAAAGGCGATATCCACTGCGGTTGGTAGTTAAACCCAAACAAATCAAAATGTAGATTAACTCAATCGCTTTTCTTGTAAAAAAGGAACACAAAGCAGACACGAGAAAAAACAAAACCGTAAAAAATGTGCAAAAAAAAGTCGGAATGAAATGACATGATTGCTAACGCGATTTTCTGATTTTCAGCAACTTGTGCTAGTAAAACGACGGTATACATATAATATTACACATTTAATTATAATTATACCTAATATTAATAAATTTTATGATTAATTTCTTTTTGTTATATAATTGCACAAAGTTTTTGAGTACTTGAACTTAGTTTTCACAACTGGTAACTATCTTTTCGGAAAATCCGGGATATTTATGGACGCGGCCAGGTGTCTACGTGGTCAGACCATCTCGAGTCTTCTTGTAGCATTTACTCGTCGTTTTCTTCGCGCCGCCAATCTCAAGCTTGGTTATAAGTTACACGACTTCCCACTTAAATTCTTTTCCCACGGAAACTACCAGGGACGTCACCGTAAAAGCTACTTTCGGCGGGAGTTACGCCGTAGATGCGACTGTTATCTGCGGTTTCTCGGCAAAACTCCAGACGCGATGTAGTTTCTTGAGGGGAGAATAATTGGTATCGGGAATCTTATATCGATCCAGTAGGGTCGAAGTTAGGTAATGCTGCGGAAAGAAGTAACGAGATATTATGTTTCTTATTCAGCTAATTAATCATTATAAATTATCAATCATACTGCTATTATAATTTTTAAAAAATCATGATTAATCGATTTTTTAGATATTTGTGATTTTAATATTTTATATATGTGTGAATTTTTCTAATAAAGACTCATCGAAATTATCATATATCTTTTATAATTTTTCCATGTCTACGAATAAATAATTTTTCATTCTAAGCATTCTTATTCAAAAAATAACATTATGTTTTATTATGTATATTTATAAAAGAAGGAACAGGAGGAAAGAAAGCTGATAACTATACATAAATGTTGATCTATGAAATATAATGTTAATGTACCTTCTACTAAATATATCTATTACGAGGTAAGAAATAATTAAAAATGTAATTTCAAAGCATATTGTGCGCTACAGAATATTGCACCTGGTACTTAGAATTCAGAACTAACTTTATATAAGCAAGAAAGCAGTCGCCTCAAGATGCATAAATCAAAGAGCGCCTCTGATTAAGGAAACCTACTCCTGGACTTAGGTTCTGACTTTCTTAAGCTTAATGTAGGCACGTAGAATGCAATATCGGAGCATCGCGGGGAACTTTTGATCGTTTTTTTACGTCGAGTTATGTAGTTGCAGTTATTACGACTATAAATCCGATTCATTACGAAGAATTAAGGCGCAGTTATAATTTGGTATTGAGCACAGGAAATGTGGAGGAATAAACGGAAATGTAAATATGAGAAATAGTAAAAAAAAGAAGCGTAGCATCTTCCTGCGAGAAACTTCTAAGAACGAGGAATTTACTTCTACGGGACGTACATTATGGCTTTGAAAGCACGATATTTGCATATAACGAGCAATTAAGGAGCCAAAGGAAAGTCAAGAAACTTTTGCCGTGGGTTTATATGTGCACGCAGAAGCGAGAAAACTTTTTGCACTCGTAAACGTAGAGTTGTATTATACGCATTTAATTAAACTTTAATCTTTTTCTAAAATAAATATAATGTATAGAACTTTTCAATTACGAATCCCCCATCAATTTGTAGCTATCTTTTTTTAATAGAATATAAAAAAAATAGATTATGCGCATTTTCTAGCATTTCGTTAACGTTCAGCTTATTTATTCATAACTATTTACTTGTAATAAGAGAATTATTTATTTTATTATCTAGAATTGTTATTTATTTTCTTGAAGTTTAATCTATAAAAGAAACTTTCAAAAAGAAATTTTCGAAGTGATTTCAAAGCTATTAACGGTTTAATGTTAGAAATATTTTTTCATGTTTACACATATTTTTCTAAAATTAGAAATATTTTTTCATTTCAATCTCTAATATTTGTAGTTTGCAATTTCCGAGACAATTTGTCTACAATAAAGCCAGGCACGTCTGATAATTCTGGATGTCTTTTTTTGTTTTAGAAATGGCATTCGGGCTTAGCAAAGGCAGCACAGAGGTGGGCCGATCGTTGTCTCGGTTTGGTGCATGACAATGCGACCGGTCTGTACCTGGACGGCTTTGGACAGAGTGGACAAAACATATTCATCAGCACGGGTCGTACGCTCTGGTGAGATATTATTAAATCTTGTTTACTTCTAGTTAGCGAGTTCGTGTTGCAGTTGGTATATTTGTACAGATGTACTCTGTGCACGCTCTCTAGACTCCCGTGAAAATGCAGTGGTCCATCTGCCATGGATGCACCGTTAATTACCTTGCCACTTCATTATTTACATATCAAAAGATAACTTCTTGAAAAGATACCATCCGGAATGATTAATCTTGCCGTTGGATATGCGACAAGGTACCTCAAATTTTACGATTTTATTACGAAACTCCGATATGCAATCAAGATAATTTCAAAAGAGTTCATCGCGTACTGAGCCATCGGAAAATTTAGCTTCGCGCTGTGTTGAAAGAGCATATTGTAATTAATTCTTCAGTCAACAAAGTTCGAATTAAATTACGCAGGCAAACAGTCCACGATGGACTACAGCATAGATTTCGGCATGTATACTAGGGGCTCTACAAACATCACCGGATGTGAATGATTTACGTTACATGCGGACAAATCGCCATTGCCACAAATCGAGATTCCTCCCACCGAAACATTCGTCGGAATGTTGTAGGAACTTCCCCATCAGAATGTGGTACATGGAGTACAAGGACTTCAAGTACGGGCCCAATACGACGAATGAGATCCTCGAGATCGGCCATTACACGCAGGTGGTGTGGGCGACGACACATCTGGTCGGATGCGGGGTGAGCCATTGCACCGGCGGCAAGGGTCCGCTTGGCAAGGATTTCTATATGTATGTTTGCAACTATGCTCCGAGGTACGTATATAATGTTGAACAATTGAAGAACCGTCTGAATAGCGAGTTCAGTTAAGCGGATTGAGTTTCATCATCTTGCATCTCATCTAACAGAGAACTTTCGGATGCTTGCATTGAATGCGTTCTTCAATTGAAAAAGGAAACACATTTCCGGATATGTATTCCGGATATGTTCTTTTTCTCTTTATCTTGACAGAGGTCTTATAATTCATTTTTTATACGAGTTATATTATTTCTCATATATCACGCGGTATAATCCCTCGCATATAAATTTCATAAAAATATTTACAATGTGATTCTCGCACGTTATTTTGTTTACAAAACGCAACAAGTTTTTATTTTTTTTTTCCAAATTATATAGAACAACAAAATACAAGTGTAACACATGTTACACACAAATAGAGATTACATCGATACGGTAGTAACGTGGTGTAATTATTTTCACCAGGGTTGCACGCTGTTTGCCGTGACTGTTATGATACACGGTTGTTTCTGCTACAGCAATTGCAATTGGGCCATGGCTAGAACTTAGTTCATTAGCATGGAATTGACGCAATAATTTGCTGGAGGGAAATGCGGATTGAAACGGTTAACCGTAAACTTAGCGAAAGTAGCGTCGTGCGCGGCATCGTCAAAGCAGATCTTAGTTAAATCGACATTTGCTGAATAGGAGAAGGTCAAAGCAGATTAAATCATTAACATAAGAAAACAGAGAAAAGTGTATAAAAGAAAGAGAGAAAGATTAATAAAAAGAGAAAAGAACCTTATTACATTTCGCAAACAGTTCGCTTTTTACATAATAATAATAGTCACATTTAAATGAGAACTTTAATCTTGTAATAAATAAATCTATTGAAAATCTTTTTCTAAAAAAAAATTAACTTTTACATCAATAAAAATTTACAGACTGATAAAATTGAAGAAAAAAAAATGAATGAAGAGTATATTATTAAGAGAAATATATTAGGAATCAATACGTAACAATAGAATTTGTCAAGCATATTTATGAAACAGAAGATATTTGTTACTTCAATATTGGAAAATTTTTTTAATTTTTTTTTTTCTCTGAAGTCAAGTATTAGGTACTGCATAAGCAGCTAAAGGAGAATATTGCTTGAGAAAATGTACTGTCAGTGTTTCTTGAATGAAGAACGATATTATAGGGTGCAGAGACCTTAGAGTAGCTTGAAAATTATAACTATTCACGGTGCGACGTCTTATAGAGTTTTCCATTGGCAAAACTAGTGCGCATTCAGTGCACATTAAAGCTGTTGTATACTATTCTAATCTAAATATAAAAGCGAGATATCTCAATTGATAAAATGCCCAAAATTTATTTTATCAAATAGCACAATAAAATGTATCGAATATTTCACGGTTTAATTCGTTTATATATTTTTATTAAACGTATATCTTTACGTCGATTTTTGTACAACAGCTTTAAAGTGCACTGAATGCGCACTAGTTCTGCCAATGAAAAACGCTATTAGAGAGAATTCGATAACTCGAAGCCACATGTTTTTCAAACGATTGTCAAAGATATTTTCAGCCATTACATATATGGACTTGATTATACTTATAGCTTAACCTTTTTCATAAAAAACAACCGATGTTGCATTCAAGCTCGTGTCACGTAAGCTTTCCCTAGACATGCTGAAATATGTAAATCCTATATTTATACACAGTATGTAAGTGACATAACCCGCTTGGAGGAGAACAGGAGGAACGAGGTAAGCAAGGAAAACAAGGAAAATGGTGACACTGGTGCGGAATATATGCAACGTCAGCGCGAGTTATAGCTCGTTCGTCTTTGTCATGCCCATTGTGGCACTTAGACGGCTCTCTTTGTCACCAGTATGGCACACTTTCTCAGTATACTTATGGTTTCGTTGTCGCTACTATACTGGATGAAATATATAATACATGTATGTATGTATATATAATACACATATATATGTGTGTATATATATCTATTATATATATATATATTATAAATATATGCAGGATGCTCAATGTAAAACATACGACGTACGATGTATGAATAAGAATTTTCTTGAAGCTTGAATGAGAGAGAGATACGAGTTAGTTGAAAGGAAAAGTATTATACTAATACATATTTTGATTAAGAAAAACTGTTTGTGACATCGAATATTAAATAAAAAAATTATTAGTAAATTTATAAAAACATTGATACTTTAAACGTTAAATTAATTTAAAATAAAGACGGATATTATATATTCTTTTAAGAATACAAAAAACGATTATATTAGAATAAAATTAAAAATATTGCGCTTTTTTATTTTTCTTGCTAATAGAAACTGAAATTGTTTATGTAATTTTCTTTTTTTATTTATACTTTTACTCTGTAAATAATAATACTATTCAGAAAGAGAAATATAGAAATATAGAAATAGAGAAATTTAATAACATGTACATTTTTATATAACGTTCTAAAGATTATAAATTGAATAGTAACTTTTATCAACATTTTGTATACAACAATAATTCACTGGAGTAGAGAATTGATTATATATTACAGAGAAAGAAAGAAAAAGAAAGAGAGAGAGAGAGAGGGGGGGGGACTACGCCGCTATCTTTGCATTCCCGAGTAAGCTGTCCAAGTGAGTGACAATAAATAAATGATTTTCTCAGCGACATTTCACGCGCGAGCAACTCACGCAATTAGAATTCGCTCCGGTCTTCGGCCTTGCAATTTATCGCTCCTGCAAACCGTACAAAAATGTACGGCGACCCAATTCTGAACTAAGGATTCCTACAAATCGTGACGCTATATATTCCTCATATCGATCCCTCGCAATACGCGAACCCGATAAATTTTCCGCGGGATCCGTTCTAATACGATCTGCGACGAGTTCACCGCAGTTTCATATATTCATGTAACAAGACGAGATACTAACAGGCAAATGTGCATACGGTCGTCATATTAGCTTTTCTACCGCAGAGCAACTCGACAAATTAAACTGAACTCAAACGAATTTTCGAAACAAATATAAATTCACTAGAAGAATTGAACAAAATCTAATATATAGATTTGAAAACTATAGAATATATTTCGTACATCGACCATACTTTGTAATAAGCTTCAGCTAACAAAATTAATTAAAAATTAGCACATCCATTCATTGTGAAATCAATTTCCATAGAAAAAACTCTAGCATTTCAGAGAAAAAAAATGATATTCCATAAAACAGTTTTTAAGATTATTTCATACGCCAATTTATATGTCAATCTGTACTTCTTATTAAGCAGCACACATTCTCTAGCAGTGTATTTGACGCCTGACCTATTTTGCGCGAAAAGCGAAGTCAGTGCGGCTGCATGGCCGCCATCAGTGGCCCGAGTCCTGAATAAATAAACCGTGTCAGGTGGTGGTGGGCCACCTTATCCTTCCTTTTATCTTGCCGTTCTTCCACACCGGCTCTATCTCGTAATTAATTTCGTGGATATACAGCAACCCGAGCTGGCCGGCCTTTAGAGACGGAAATTCTCGCGGGATCGTTTAAGACGCGCGATTCGTACCAAAAAATACTTTGAATGTAAATTCGGTGGCCCATTTGCAAATTGCTCGACGGTCCTTCCATAGCTTTTCGTTAATGCGCGTGGCTAATGGATTTGGATTAGAATACTGCAGCCTAAAGTATTTTTACCCTATTATGCGGACTATCTCAGAAATCGGGTATTTATTTTAAGTTGAAAATACTGGAAATTATTTAAAAAAAACGGGAATATTAATAACAAAGTGTCTATGAACTTTAAATTTAATAAAAAGATATTATATAGTAAACAAAATTTCTTTAAAGTGATTGATTAATTACGTATTTTTCAGTTAATTTGGAATAAAACATAAATTAAGCAATTGCATCAATATAGAATTTTTTCTATAAAAATATAAACTTATCTTAAAACATACAATTATCAAGAGGATACTTGTTGCTATTACGAAATAAGAAATTTAACCGGAGAAATTTAACATTAAAACAAACTTGATTCTAATTCTTGTATAATTACTGTTTTAATTTTTACAAGGCAAACGCGCATGTTAAAATTTTCTCACTCTTATCTAAAGACACACAATTTATTCTTCTCCAACTTATTGAATTAATAATAAAAAACGCGCTAGATATCTAAATACCATCTTTTAATGTAATTTTGTACTCCCCCTCCTTCGTATTCAAGCAATTCAAGTAACTCAAACAACATACATTTGTAATAATATATACAGTGACTCTGTATCCGAGCGATATATATTTATATATTGAATGAAATATTAATACAATGTGAATCAGAATAAGTTAGAAACAGAGAGCAATAAGAACATTCTGCAAAAATCCAATGCTGCACGGACTAGTTTGATGCAACAAGAAAAATCAAATTTTCTGTCGTTACAAGTATCGAAATGAATGCTAAATTAGTGTCGATATTAAATTTATATTCTTGTCGTGCTCGAAATCCAAATTTTTCTTTCTTTTATAGTGTGCCAAAGCAGCTGAAATGCGGAAACGTGCTTCGATCTAACGATATTTAAATCCCAATGTGAAATATTTAAATTTATTTTTCACGTTTTCATGTCGCTTCGGGCTGTTACGATCGATATTGTCTAATAGCCGGTATATTCTTGCCTCGCAGCGGGAACTACAAGGGCCGTCTGGGCTTGCCGTACGTGGCCGGGAAGCCGTGCAGCATGTGCAAGGACCACTGCACGCAGGACGCGCTTTGCACGAACGCCTGCTATCATACCGATCTGTGGTCCAACTGCGCCGAACTGCTCAGGACGTTTGGTTCGTGGGTCTGCGATACGGACACCAAGGAGGGTCGCGAACGCCGAAAGTTCTGCGGCGCCACATGCAATTGCAAGGACAAGATCTACTACCATCACGAAGGGTAGGAGGGCTTGACTTTGGGTCCACCGTGTTGCATGAATAATTTAATCGCTCTGCAAAACTAAACTCAGACCTAGTGGGTGTTACGACGGCTAAACGGCAGCAGATCGTTTAATGGAGGGTCGTGTTGTTTTATTGATGAGCTCGTTTGTTTAGTGATGAGAACTGGAGAAACGCTCGCAATGTTATGGAGCTAAGGCATCGAGAAAGGGGGAGGGAACGAAAAGAGAAAGAGAGAGACACACACATAGAGAATGGATAGCGAGTAAACGGGATAATATGGAAATATGGTAGATGAAGTGATTGTGGGATTTGTGTGCTATCTGAATCTCTGGGGCCTAAATTTCGCGGATTCTAAGATTGTCCAAAATCTAATAGATCGATAGATTCTGTTCGGCAATTTAACAATTACTGCACATAATCTTTCGATTCCAGAGATTCCAACATATTCTCGTTGTAATATAATCCTTGAATTCTAGGACTCTGAATTTTATAATTCTCGAATGTTCAGGATCCTTTGAAATTTCACAAATTACCGGTGTAAAACTCGCGTCTATCTTTTATGATTTGCATAAAACTTCATTTCCTATGAAGTTTTACGCGAAGTAATCAATATATTTGCAAAAGATGTCAATCATAATTTTTAATGTGCTATAACAATACAATAAAATGGATTAATTTTTGAAATGAATGGTACCGTGATTGACATCGAAATTAAGACGTATTACGTTTAATGTCTATATTTTAGTTGTTAGAGATTAATATAATTTCCTAATTAATATGCACGCACACGTACGTTTGCAGGAGAATAAAGTTCCAGGACTGGGTTTGAAAAGTTTTTAGTATACATTTAAAATTAGCTTTTTATCGGTGATTCTTTAATCTGCTTCAATCTGTACGTATTCAAAAAAAGAATAAAAAGACCAACTTTATATTTTATATTTGTTTATAATTATTTTTACATTGCTTACGTTCTTATAAACTTGTATAAAGCAAAGTTTAAAACGTAACATTTTATCAGTTTAATATGGTTACCTGCGTGAATTATATTTCTGGCTTTAAATATTTGTCATATTATAAAATATTCTACATCAAGTTAATTAAATGGGTAAACGAGAAACACGTTTAAGCAGAAAACATAATAAGCTCATTCGAACTTATTACATTTTGTAAATTTAATCGTGAATATTTCGTATTTCTTCTATTTTTTATCTAAAAAATAACTTTTAAATAAAAAAATTGTAAATAAATCCAGTGGGTAACATATCGAAACTGACAATTATTAGACGATAGACGTACTTTTAATTTTAGCTAACTTGTTAAGAGAAACAATGTAAAAATTAAACTAAGCTTTGAGGAGACGGTGTGTCGATGTTTCTTGTCGTGATATAACGATGAAACTTCTCTTTATTAGCACAATTAACGATAATGATAACAGTTATTTTTATCTTAGATTTAACAACAGCGTGTTTACGTGCAGTGCGATATTGGATGAAGGCAAGTCGGAATTGTAAAGTTAACTCTTTACCGCATAATTTCTCTTACAATTAAGAATATATTTCGGATGAGTATAACGCGGTGCGTTTAATCTAAAGATATAATACTCTCTTCTCGCGAAACGATTTACAAAGATACATATCGCGCGACAAAAGCGCATTATTATTATCTTCGTAATGATACGTTTATTATGTAAAACGAGAATTATCGGCCAGATCATAAATAAATAAAGATTTATAATAACAAAAATGCAAAAAATTTCTATCGAGTAAAAAATACATTTTTCTAAAAATAAAATATTGCCAATATTTTATATAAATGACATCTATTCGATTATTGTAAAAAGTGAGATATAATATAGCGCATCGCACGGTTTGTAACGGTTAATGAAAAATCATTGTTGTTATTTTTATAGGAACTGAAAAATCGATATTGTGAAATATATGCCATAATAATGCGGTAAAGAGTTAAGATAAATCGTAAATCATAAAACACATAATCAATGCGTCGAGAAACAACACATGTGACGAATGGCAAGCGTGATTGATGATAATGTTAGGTATTTGATTGTCGATAATTAAGGAGTTCGGTAAAGAGATATAACAGTGAATGTAACGGTACAGCTCCAAATAAAATGTTTAAACTGTAATACTTTTTGTCCACTTACAAAATAAATATCCTGTAAATATTACATTTTCCTGCATTTCATCATTTACTTAACCATATTCGAATAGCCATAATCCATCAATAATTGTTTCATTAGCATTATGATAATTTACAGTTGTATTGAAATAATAAAATTTATCAATACGTAATAAACGCATAAGTAATCCTTAGCAACGTATAATATCAAGAGAATTGAGTGCCTCTTTAGTGCCTATAATAAATTAATATTACTGTTAAATTTTGACAAAGCGTAGCCATACTCTCGATTGGGAGAATGAACGCATGTTGGTCGGTTATGGTGCGTTTAATCGATCGTAATATTTATTTGTTGCCAGGGAATCGGAGGATTAAACGGAATTATATGGAGAATAAATCGATGAGAGTTTTAAGGGAGGGTGGAGAGAGAAGGAAATTATCCCCTAGGTCAAGAGAAGTGTGCAGTCGGTGAATTCGAGTTAGCGGTGAACCGAATGCATACTCTCTTTTTGCTTCAAAGGGCTTAGGAATGCTTTTCAAACCGTGTCTGGGAACCGACAATAATGGTTCCGAACTTCGCCAGACTTTTAAATGAAGAGCACTGCATTGAGATTTTCTTATGTCAAATTGGTGTAACTATCGATTTTGGCGTTAATCCTTTTGCTAAGCGTAAATATAAGGGTAAGTAATTTTATGCGTTTCTCATTATTGTTTAGCATTTTGCCTCTCGCATTTTAAATACGAGAGGCAAAATGCTGAACAATTAAATATTCAGTTATAGTCTTAATATAATCAAAATTACAGTCTTAATATAACCAAAAATAAATTAATTTTTCTAAATATTTAATAAGTATTACCAAACAGTTAATTATATTATTATGTTTGTAATACTTATTAAATATTTTTAAAAAATTAAAATTATTTTTAATTATATTAACCAAACATTTAATTGAAATTATTTCACTATTTCAGTATTTGATAGCTATTACACGGAGAGAATTTTTTCTTAGGATTTACCCTGAAAATATGACAGCCGTGGGACAACATTGTATTTCGAAGAATTTTAATGTAAATCTCTCTCATTCATTAATAAAACTACAATAAAGTATAAAATAAGTTTGATCAAATTTACTGAAGTGCATGGTAAAAATCTTTAAAATATTGTATTGTACTACAATCATCATATTTTCAGGATAAATTTTAAAAGAAAATTCTCTCCGTGTATTAGACTTTTTTTTTAATGTGTGGCGTTGGATTCTAATTTAGATAATCTATCAGCTAAAGAATTAGATTAATTAACTAAATAAGTCTTTTAAACAAAGATATAGCAGAGGGTATCAAATAATGTATTTTATGAATCCTTTTGTCAGTTGGGCCGGAATCGGCCGCTCAGAGCGATACAGCCATCAATTTCCGGTGTGGTATCAAAGGACGCGAGCGAAAATCGATTTTATAGTAACGGGCCCCGCCAAGTGGAATAATACTCGTTCGTCGCGGAATTGGGCCGATTTGTCCGTGGGCTGACGACTTCGGCAAAGCCGAAAGGCCCGTCGACACAGATTCCTTTGAGCATACCCGTCGGAAAGCCGGCAGAACCAAATGGCAACGCCATTCCGTTGCCGATAATGCCGCCACGCGCTTTCGTCAAAGATCGGCGATCGCATTGTCGTGAACGAGCAATTTCCTACCGTACGTCTTTCGAAGATTTCTACGAGGCGATTGAAATCGACTAGTCGGAGCGGAAGGTTCGTTCGCTGAATTTAATCCTTTTTGTAGTTCCTTGAATTTTAGGGTGTAAGATCTAGGGATGCCTGAGGAGATTAAGAGTACCGCGAATAGGAATAACGTAAGAAAATCTAAAAGAGCACGAGAAAAGAAGATTTATTTTACAAATTGCCTTCAAGTTCGTTGAATAATTTATCCGCCGAGTATCTTGCATGCATAATTATTGTTTCGTTATATATGTACCTACATACAACAACATCGAATATCAAATGTTTTTTTAATAAACATTTTACTAAACAAAGGAAGCTATTATATAAGACAAAAAGAAGTTATTAAAGTATTGAAGTTATTTAACATGAAAAACTATATTATTGCAAACCTTAAATGTTTCATAACGTAAATAGATCTTTGTTTTTCGATTAATTTTAAGCAGATTTCGCTTTAACGAGCTTTATTTAAGGTTTCATTATTAAGATATTTTAAAAGCATTTAAAGCTCTGTAAAAATTAACCCTTACCGTACCATCTACAATTTGGTGCCTCATCCACACCATCAAGGGTCACTAGAATGTCTTCGTTTTTTCACCTCTTCAAAATAATTCAAAAAATTTCCAAAAATTCACCAACACATACTTTCAACTTTCTAGAATAAATATTGATTCTTTATTTTGGAAAATAATAAAATGTAGTATAATTTATAATTACCGAAAGACTCAAAGAAACTTGCACGAATAGGAATCACTCGGTCACTAGTTAGCCATATTAGTACGGTAAGGGTTAATTAATAATATTTTCCGAAACACAATGGATGACGGATAACAAAGAAACAATTTCTAGTTGTGTAAATATAATTGTCAAACTCGCTATACAAGAACGTTGCAATTATCCGGAATCTTGGTAATATATTAAACAATGCAATGCAATAGGCTTGTGACATACGTGATTCAGTGTATGTAATTTACAATGGCTGCTAAAGCAGGTGTAGTAGTGGGTTGATTTATGAACGTATTAACTATAGATACCCGGGGCGTTATCATTAGTTGATTGATAGCCAGTAATTAAACTATAAAGTAGCTATGAGTTCTCAGTTTTAATTACTTAGAAATCTAACGGAATTCCTACACTGATAATGGTAGGTTAAATATTTTTAAAGTTCCACGTCGAAAATTGATCTATGAGTAAAATTAAATTATGATATTTATGGTACTTATGGAAATTATTGAAGAATTTTCAATAATTTATTACTGATAGTAGATACATTTTAATATGATATAATATATCCGTAATATGTCGATAATTACTCTGATATGTCATTTCGTTATAAAACAAAACAAATCTTGGCTATAAGCTATAAAACGTATTTGATTTCTACTTATTACAACGAAACTAATAACAAACTGCACTTTGTTGAATTTTAATAGCAAGAGAATATTCTATGCTTTATTAACAAATAAAGATAATATGTTTCACGATACAATATTTCCGGTTCCATATCGCATAGCATCATTCAATTACTCAACGTCCAAATATTATACAAACCATATTTTCTTTATAATACGCGTTCTCGATGTTTACATACGCAAATGTTTACACTGTTGTAAATAATTAATCGGAGTGGAGAACATGCAATTATTTGAAATTTCACGTAATTACGCTTGGCATGCCTCGATTTGTTATGTTAATTGAATTCCTTGAGAGAAACTGGGACATTAAATTTTATCGAATACCCGGGTATCTCGAGTATTAGATCGATAGCTCACACAAGCAATTTTGTTCTTGTTTCTGACTACCGTGGAAGTGCATTTATCAGAAGCCTGTTTATCAGAAGAATAAAGCGAAATTTTAAAAAAGAGATCCTCAGTTTGGTACATTTATGATGTTGGAATTCATTTATGTTACGAGCTACAAGTCTCTAGTCCTCTTATACATATTCAATACACAAAAGAAGTATTTGCATACATCCTCTCATTTCAAAATGATTTTATACGCTAAAGGAAAATATTGTTGTAAATGTTTTATTTCGGAATACATCGTTTTCATTTGTATTACACAACAGA